TGAAGGTGTTCTTCAAGGATGAGCATTCTTGCTTTAGATATCCCTTTCTTGCTTAGGCTTTTAGTCATTCTTGCTTATTGTTTTAAGCTTAGCTATTAACTGATAAAAGTTCTGTTTTTACTTGCTTTTAAACTTTGTTTAAGGTCATTTTGAGATTTGAGGTTGTTTACCCCCTCCAAGGCCTTGTTAGGCCTTGTTTTAGGCCATCCCTTTTGGCCCTTGCTTTGAGCTTTGCATGGCCTCTCTACCACTGAAATCCAGAGGATTTTCAGTGGTGGAGAGGTGGTTTTGGTGTCCTAAATAGGAGAGGGTCCCCTCTCCTTGTCATCTTGAATACTAGCATAAGTGGCTTATGTTGGTGGCTTGTATGCCTAGCTTGTTTTAGCTTCATTTCAGCAAGTATTTGGTGTTGTTTTGCCATGATTTACCTTTGTTTAAAGTTGGTTTAATGGTCTCTTGCATGCACCATATACTTACCTTGCAATCCCCTCATTTGTCTTAACATGTATCTAGCATTTAGACTACCATGCTTTCATGTTTTGGCTCAACTCCATGAAGCTTCTAGTCTTGTTTTAACATGCTTGAGCTTTGTTTTTCATTGTTTTGGTCATGCTTACATTGTTTTGTATAGCTACCATGCAATCTAGCTTATTAGCTTTGGGTGTTTGAGTCACTAGCATGCTCTATTCGGATCATTTCAGTAGTTTGGCATCACTTGTAATATTATTTCAGTCCATATAGTATTCTCATGTACTTGCATTTGTCACTCCTTTAATGCTTTAAAGGGTTTGTGTTTTATGCCTCATGAATGTGTCATTGTGTATGCCACCATGCTTAAGTCTTTGGGATGCCATCTAAGTGAGCTTTTTTGGGCTTACTTTGACATGCCATAACTCTGTTTTTCATTGCTTAAATCATGCCATGTTTGATTTTGATAGGTGTAGCGTAACACCCTCTTTGGTAGCCTTGCATGCCTCATGTTTTGGCATTGTGTTCTAGCTTGTGTTGGCTAGTTTCGGGCTTGCTTATGGTCTTGTTTGGACCTGCCTTAGGACTGTTTTAGGTCCTCTTGGCCCTTTGGGGCTTGCTTTGTATAACCATGGTTTAAAACCTTAAGCTAGTTTCAAGCTTTAAGCTTTCTTGCATGCTTTGCTTGTGTACTTTGGTCGGTTTGGCACCTCTCCTAACATGATTTCAGAGCTTAACATGTTTGCCTAATATCCATGTTTGTCTCCCTTTAAGCGTTCTTAAAAGTTTCTCTACAATGCTTAAGGAAATGGACCATTAGCATGCATGTTTATATGTGTATTTCATGCCTTTGTTTCATCACTTTGGCCACTGATTTGGACCTATTTGAGAGCTGTCCATTTTGGTTTAAGACCCTTATCGCATGTTATTACATGCTTGCCTTACATGTTGTTGCATACTTGGCCTATTGCATGTTGTTGCATGCTTGAGTTATATCGCATTTGGCATGCCCCTTTTGTTAAGTTGCTTTGCATGTTTACATATATTGTCCCTTGCATGTTGTTGCATGCTTGCCCCACATGTTATTACATGCTTGCCTATCCTTGAATGTTGCCATATGCCTTGCATGTTTGCATGCTTGTTTTGGTTGCATTGCATTTGGCATGCTTATTACCATTAGCCTTGTATGGCATTGTC